TCTCCGGAATACATGTATTCAACCTCACTTATGCCTCCTTCCACCCTATGGAAGGCCACGAGACGCTATAAGGGCCATTTCACATCCGAACTACTGCCTCTGCTGTGAAGAAATCCTCAAGGAGGAAAAGAACCACCAAAAGTTGAAGACCTGAAAATGTGTACGATCGACTAGACATAATTGTAGCTTCCCGAGACTTCCCATAAGCTAAAAGAAGGCAGTAAGAGTGGCTGGATACATGTATCCCGGAGAAAACAGAGCAAATGTGCCTGAGCATAGCCCGAAGGCCCGTCCACAAGTACAAGGGCCAGACAATCCTAAAGTGACCGCCGAACGTCAGATTGAAAATAAAGCAAAGCATTACGACAGAGTTGGAGTTTATGCACATTTAAAGGTAGCTAACTAGCGGTATTCAGTAGGTAGTTATCAAAAAAAAAACAAGAAACCTAGGCTGTAATTGTAGCGTCCCAAGACCTATCTTCGGGTAAAGGAGGGATTACACCTGAGCTTTGCCGGAAGGTCTGCCCACGAGTACAGGGGCAGAAGTGTCTTAATGTGACCACCAGACATAAGGTGGTCACACAAACAAAGTATTACAGTAATGCTTTGCTTGTGCGACCACCTAAGGCCTGGCGATCACCTTGCGATTCGATTGGCCTATGTAATGTGGGGTGGACCTTTGGCCATGTCGGGGGGCTACGACTTCAACTTCACTTAAAATACGTGTATTCTGCCCAACGTGATTGTAATGCTTTATTTGGCGGTCACTTTAGGATTTGCCTGGTCCTCGTACACGTGGGTTGGCCTTCAGGTCATGCCCAGGTCCATTTGCACTGTCGTCTTCGGAATACATGTATCCAGCTGCACTTACTGCTATCTTATACCGGCTAGGAAGTCTCGGGACGATAAAGGGATATCTTCCTTGAACTTAGTGGGAAGTGTTGCGACGCTACAGCGATAAAGCTCTGCTTATTAAGATACACCTTCCAACTGAGAAGCGGGCGACAAGGATGATAAAGCGAAGGGGCGAGTTTTGTAGTGGCACGATCGCACACAACTGTACAGATGCTCTTTACTTTCCATTTATGAAAACCATCAATCACAGTACTTTGAAAGTCAGGAAGAGAACTTTGGGCCAAAGTTGATGCCTAACTGTGTTGCACTACAGCTTGTGAAACCTCAGAGTTAAAAAATTCTTGAGTTTATTATGCTCTGCATGCAGAGGCAGCAAGGTCCCAAAATCCACCTCGAATTGCTACACAGTGGCAAAACTCTGGAACGAAAATTGTGGCTAAACAAGATAATACAAAGTGGTATACGCCTATTGTTTGACATTTTTCACTCCCCGAATTTATTCAATACTTTTGAGCTTCGATAAGACATAGCAGTAATAATTATAAATGCCTCCTCTGTTTGTCTGCATGATCTAAATCCAAAGTCCTCAGCTTGACAATTTGATTGGATTGTCCAAGGATCCTATTCAGTGGATGCTTCTTTAAAAAACCTGGTTTCACACGCGACGATCCAGGGTTAAAATGTCCGAGTTTCCAAGGGCAAGGCAGCTTTTTCTTCACACAAGCAATATTTTGAAGTGGAATAACATGCAACTCATTAGGAACCCATTTGAAGAGGTAATTTGAATAAATACTTTCTCTAACAAACTGTACTTTCTTGCAAGATTTCATTTTGGCAAGTTTTCTAAGCAAATAAGCTGATTGAATTATCTGTTGCGAATTGTCACACTCATGGTGGAAATGTGTTAGGAGTTCAAATGCTGAGTTCGCAGTTTTTGCACGTGAATCTGCGCGTGATTAAATCTAGTAGGTTGTTTCCCAAATATCGTGTCTGGATTTTAATGTCACCTTAGTAGTGCCACAGGACCTTGTACGACTCCAACTACGAGTGTCCATCATCGTTCTTGTAGGTCGAAACTTGCATCAAAACTGTTATGCATTGCTGGCACACGCGTCAGTGCGCGGATCTTTCTGTACGTCGAATTTTACACACTGTGCGACGATCAAGGTCCCCTATGCTGTGTGAGCTTCTTCTCATTATAGGAACAGGAAACTCTTTGCATTGCCTGTGACAAGCACAGGGACAAAATCCGCGAATCGGAGCGCAGCAACGTTATTGTTTCAGCCAAACTCTTTCTTTTTACAGACGATCACTACTCCATTAGACAGGCTGTTAATAAAAGTAGGTCTCCCTTTATCCTTGATAATATGTCTACTGGATGAACTATTCAAAGCTCTTTCATTTAGCCCTGGATCGGCTGGGTCTGGAGGACTTAGAGACACTGATAATTTCGCTCTCATCGGAACTCTCTCGAGGTGCTCTTGTCGATCACCCACCTTGCATGGGTCTTCCTTGGGCTCGAATTCCTCAGAACACGGCCCACAGCCTCCTCAAAATTTGGCCTGTTTTGGAGGAATTCGTTGAGGCTAATAAGATTTTTAGATTGGGGGTTTGTGACATGCCCGTCACTGATTTGGAAGTACTTTGTGCTGCTGTTAAGGTTCGTTCGTATTTTATCCTACTTTTGCGTGCAGTATCACTTTAGCGTTGTTTTTGGTAGGTAACTGTGCGTATCACATTATTCATACGTTGAAAACTATTTTGCCCGAATCTTAAGCTGTAAAGCTTCCTTACTAATTTCTGCTACCAATAAGGCACTCATGAGACGTTACCATCGCTTACCTGTGATCTAAATTCGAATTTATTCGAATGCGGGCTGATCGATGATCAGCTACTTTCCCTTTTGTCCGTCATTTCTTAAACATTTATCACTTTAAATACAGACCCAAGCACGTTTACTGTGGCTTTGTTTTTGTCCTTGTCCTTAATTAATGCAACATTTAGTTCAGTAAACAGTAGGTAACTTGTCGTGCCGCTTTTCGCTGGTCGCAAGCTAAACATCATTGGCTCAATTTAGGTATAAGGTCATGGTCCTTATACCGGCAACCGTTGATTGTTGATCATAATGGGCTGCGCTTTGGCGACATGTCTGGTTTGGAGAGATGTGCCAAACAGTATCTGCAATAACGGTCATACTTCTATCAGGAATTCAGAAATTTGGGGCCTTTTCTATATACCATGCC